TCTATTGGGCTTTTGGTAAGTCCACAACTTTCAACGGATTTGATAAGTTTTTACCAGCTACCGTTTGAGCTGGACTAGCTATGGACTTTTTGAGCTCCATAGTACCTGTTGGATATTGGACTTTTAAATCCAAAATCTCTTTTTCAAGTTGGGCCACTTTCTTTTGGAGTTGGGTTCTCTCTAATGAAAGGTTCTGGTTGGCTTCATTAATAACTTTATAATTTTTTTGCATACACTCTCAGTGTTGGCAAAAAATATTCTGGTCTTTACTTGAAGAGAAATCTAATGGAGGATCAGAGTAATTTTTTAAAGAAGGAGATAAATAAAAATTTATTCTTATATGCTGTCTTGCTGCATCTAATGCTTCTTGGAAATATGTAAAACCTTTGTAAAGAGGATCTGAAAATTTTTTAATACAGTCTAAAACTTCTATCCAAGAATGAAAAATTCATGGATTTTTTCCTTTAATAACAACATAAAATTTAAATCTTTATTTATTCTGACTAAAATGTTCTGATAATGCATTCATACATGCAAGAAAATATTTCTGATCTTTTGGATTCTTGTTATATAAAATCCATAAATTATCTAAAATACATTTTCTTCTCTAGATAAAGAAATATGAGGTAAAATTTTGAAAGAAATATTACTATTTGAAAAAACTATAAGTTCTTGGTTTCCAAACCTTAGTCTGTCTTGTAACATTGGTCTGTTTTGGTTAAATGGAGTCTGTGGTAAAGAACTTGATGCAAATGAATTCCCTGGTGGAATTCCTGATCTTATAGATCTTGATCTTGTCATCTGTATAACAAAATTATGTTAAGCAAGTTTAATAATTTCTATCTATTATTATTCTACTTAATATATCTGCTGCTTTATTATCATTACCTTTAATATGCTCAAATTCTTTATTAATTCCTGTATTTGTAATTATATCTATAAAATTTAACCATCTTCTTCTACTACTTCTTTTTGAATTTATTTTCATTTTATTAACAAAAGAAACTATAGCTACATAATCTGTTCTTATAGTTATTTCTGTTTTAGATACAATAAATAATTCAAAACTATCTAATACATAATTTATAGCTAATAATTCTGCATCTATACTGCTTAAATTTCCTTTTTCTTTATAATTTTCACTATTATATCTACAAATTCTTTCTGTACTTTTATCAGTGTATTTATTGGGTTTGCATATTAATATAGCTCCTTATCCTATCATACTTCCATTTGTTTCTATAATTAAATATTCTGAATTTAGTGCCATGGTTAATTCTGGTGAAATTTTTATCTTTTCTTTTATTTGTTATACTAATTTTATGTCTTCTTGATTAAAATTTTTTTGTCTTGTAGGAGATGTCTTTGCATATAAAGGTCCTGCTAATTTTTCCAAATCTTTTATAAATGGTCTAGCATAATTTATTAATCCTAAAATTTTTTGAATTTGTTTTAAATCTTCTAGCTTATCTGGAAATTCTAAAGCTTTCTTAACAATATGAGGTTGTAATTTAATTTTTCCTTCTCCTATGTTAACTCCTAAAAAGTCTATAAATTTTTTGAATAAAATTATTTTCTTTTTACTAATTATTAAACCATGTTTAATGAATTTTGAAAATACTATTTGTAAATGTCCTCTATGTTCTTTTTTATTTTTACTAAATACTAAAATATCATCTATGTATACTATTACAATTTACTATATTTATTAAAAATACTTTCCATTTTTCTTTAGAAAATATTAGGTGCATTTTTAATTCCAAATGGCATTACAAGTCATTCAAAATGTCCTTCTAGATAAGTAAAAGCTGTCCATTTAATACTTTCTGGATGCATTTTTACTTGCCAAAATCCTGACTTTAAATCAAATTTATTAAAAATTTTACAGTCTTGCATTTTATTTATTAAAACTGTCTTATCTGGTATGTTATAAGTATCATCTATAGTATTATCATTGAGTCTTTTGTAATTAATAACCATTCTGCTTTTTCCCCTGACAATTTCTGAATGTTTTCTAACTATAAAGGCTGCTGATCTATGAGAACTTTCTGATTTTCTAATTACTCCTAACTCTAAGAGTTCTTTTATATGTATTTTAAAATCTTCTATATCTAAATTTGTAGCTTCTATATTCTTAGTTTTAATTATATATTCTGGGTTTTTAATTTTTAATTCACATAATATTTTATCTTTTTCCCAATATTTTAAAACATTTTCTCCTATAATTTCAATCTTTTCTAATCTAGATATTAAATTTTCTATTTCTTGTTCTGTTATTAACATATCATAAATCTTTTCATTATCAATTAATTCTATAATTCTAAATAAATTATCTTCTTCTAATGTATCTTCTTCTAGAATTTCAAAATTTAAATTTATTTCTTCTAAATTATCTTCTTCTAATAATTGACATTCTCTTTCTTTATATATATATATATATATATATGTGTGTGTGTGTGTGTGTGTGTGTGTGTGTGTGTGTGTGTGTGTGTGTGTGTGGTCATCCCTTAGAATATTGGTCAATGAGAGTGAATTGAAGAAGAGGAACAGCGGATTAATTCTTAGTTGTTTATTAAAGGTAAGGAAAGATGCTCGTGCTCAGTGATAGTAGTCCATGATGTTGAGATGGCCTCAACTATTGAGGAAGGTCCATCATCAATCGAGTTCTTTGAGGCCTTTCCCCACCATGTCCGGATAGAGTTCCCGTGGTCCTAACTTCATTCGTGGTGCTGGTCCTCCGAATGGCGCCAACAATTGTGTTAGCAGTGTCGCCTTGCCCTTTGGTGCATTGATCGTTTTTCAAAAATTGCATAATAAATGCTCACAAATTTAAGAAAGATAATATCAGATAACTTAAAATAAGGACATAAAAGTTATGCTATGAAATATTAAATTCATACTTTATATTATAAATTTTAAAAAAGTGTATGTGCAAAATATATTAGTAATTCAAAACGATTCATTAAAAAAAGATAATAATGAAAATTAGGCCTGAACATAGTTTGAGTTGGGTTGATTTTGAGTTCAACTCGAAATCGAAACCGACTTGATCGGTTTGGATAAGTTCCAACCAAAACCAACCTAATCCAACCGTTGAAACCAAACAAAATCGGTTTGAGTCGATTTGATTTGAAATAGTCGATTTTTCAAAAGTCTTTTTATATATCTGATAGTTACAATAAACAATTGCATGAAATGAAAATTGAAAAGTAAGGCTACAATATGAATTTGGAGTTTACAATAATTTTTCTCATTATTTATTTATTTATTTATTTTGTGGAATTTGGAGCTTTGGCAAAAGAAACGTAGATGGCAAGCACATTATTTGAGAAAGAATATTTTTGTGTTTTTACTATTTTATGTTTTAAGTTTAAAAATAAGAAATAAAAAATACATTAGTTGGTTGATCGATTAATTGACAGGCTAGTTCCTTAAATTGCAACTAACCGGACCCGACTTTTTAATGATTAAAATAATTGAGCCAAATTGAGATCCGATGGATTTGATTTGGTTGGTTTTTCGATTTTTTTTCTCACCCCTAATGAAAATTGAAAAATAAATATATGCATGTGACCTAATTACCACATATTTATGACACTACAATTTCTCCAACATTCTTTAAATTTTGGGCCTAGCAAATAGTGGACTTAATCCTTGAACCCATCATGACACACCTTTAGAGACGGACAAGCTTATACCATGGCCTTTAACAAGCCTATGTGAACCCGGGCCAGCTTCTAATGGGCTAATCTACAAGGGTCATTCAAACATTCAATGCTTGCACATTTGAGAAGTATTTATAAATAATTTAAATTATAACTAAATAAAAATAAATGGCAATTAAAAAATGTTTGTGAATTTAACGATAGCTGTAGATAAAAAATGATTGTAATATTTATAAACAATATATAAACACGACGAGAGATTTTGTGTTAAATAAACTAAGTATTCGTTGGATAGGATTTATGTTTTTCATCTGCTTATCATAAAAGAGTTTCATGACAAAATTACATTATGTTAGCTTTGTCTAAAAATTCTTCTAGCCAAACAAAATATATTTAGAATATTATCTAATCATACTCAAAAAGAAATAATCTCATAAGTCACTTTTGACTTTTTAAAAGTTATGCGAAACACATTTAAAATTCGCTTCATTTAAGTTTTTAGCCCTATTTGATGATCATTATTTAGGAAAAATAATGTTTTGAATAGTAATTTTTAAAAGAATGTCTGGTTAAAAAGTAGGAGAAATTTTAAAATTACGTGTAGAATATTATATAAATATACAGTTAAAAATAAGGTCCTGTTTGATCTACGTCATTTAAAAAAAAATACATTCTTAAAAAGTGATTTAATAGCCTGTTTGAGCCACATTATAATGAGAATGAGAATGAGAAATAGAGCCGTTATGAGCCCTACACAAGAGATAGAAATTCAAAAATGATGGCTTGATGTGATGGATAACGGTCATATTTTTCATTTTAATGAAGTAAAAATGTGGCTCAAACAGGGGCGTACATTTCAATCACTCATTCTTCAATAAAATAATATTACATGTAAATTAAATTTTTTTTAATCACATATTTTTCATCAATATACCATTCAGTAATACATTCTATTGAAAATAATGTGGTTCGACTATATAAGGGGGTGTTTGTGAGTGATTTTTCACCACCAAAGATTGATTTTTTTTATCGTTATTTCATTATTTCAATTGTAATTTTTGACTTTTTCTCTCATAGATAATTTTTACTTTTTATCTAATGATCAAAAAATCAATTTTTAAAATTCCTCTCGGAGCTTAAGTAAATAAAAAAATAAGTTTTCAAATAACGATTGTAATGAGTCCCTACCAAGCTTTAGGATCCAAAACAATTTAATCCAACCAAGTTGACTCGTTCGATTTGATTCGACTAGACTAATTTCAATGATGGGGCCCACTCCTACTTTTGTAGTACCCTACCCAACCACTCATGGAGTGCTTTTTCAGTCCGTCTGTTCAAACTTAAAGCCGTGCATTGTACCAAAATCATACTCACCAAAGGCCAAAAATAAATCGGTAAAACCCTAATATTTAAACACTTTTCTCTTTGATCAACCTCCTTTGTCACCGATCTTCACTTTTCCTAGTTTTTTATTTCACTTTAGATTGAATTTTCAATTTACATTTCGTTTTGAATAGCTCCTCCTGTAATTTATGGATTCTCAGGATCCGTCTGCACCACCACGACCACCGTTTCGTCCCCACCACCAGCCCCACCCTCAACAGACCCCAACCATCTATGGGGGTCCACACCAAACCCTTCACACTCAACCCCAACAGCCCAACAACCCTTATACTATTTCCAGCAACAACAATTCTGCCACCACCACTGCTCCCATGATGCAACAACAAAATTTGTACCCTTTTAACACCATGGCTTCTGCCTCTGCGTCCAAGCCGCTGGATCATCACTACTCTGATAAATTGGTTTCAGGAGGCGGAGGGGAGGCTGGAGGGTTCAGCATTGAGTCTGCCAGAAAGAAAAGGGGTCGGCCTAGAAAGTACTCACCTGATAACAGCATTGGGTTAGGTCTGTCCCCTGATCCTGCCACCAAGATTTCCTCTGCCGTGGCCCTTACTGATTCTGGTGGTGGGGCCACCCCATCTTTTGAAACTGCTGCCAAGCGCAACCGTGGCAGGCCTCCTGGTTCCGGAAAGAGACAGTTGGACGCTCTAGGTTATTGTCTCACCCGTTAATCATATGTTTTCATTAGAAATACGTACATGCAATTCATATTCAAGTGGTCGTGTTGGTGTAATAATGAAGTTCCTTTTCTGGTGGGTAGGAGCACAGGGAGTTGGATTTACGCCACATGTTATTACAGTGAAAGTGGGTGAGGTGAGTTAGTCATTGCAATTACTACCCACGGAATGTCCTATCCTTTTGCTGAATTTATTTGTAGATACACCTCATTCCGAATAGGAAAAGAATAATTAATTTAGGGAAGGAGCAACTCAAGTTCAATAGTTTGTTATCGCTCAAGTAGTCTTCGTAATTGCCTTTTCTTGTATAAGTTGTGATTGCTCAACTAGTCTTCATAATATTAACCGCACCTATGGTGATGGATAATACAAGTTCAATTTGGTAAATTATTGCTGAAATAATACTTGGGTTGATAGTTATGCAGGCAGAGTGACATTAATAATTAGAATAAGTTAATGATTTTCTTTATGAAGTTAAGAGGCCAAAAGACAAGAACCCTACAAGAATTAAAGGTTAGTTCTTTAGACAAGTATTGTTGTTAAAGGACAAGATGTCCATGAATTGATGTAGAGAAATGACAATGCTAACATGGTTGTGTGGGCATCACTAAAATGGATAAGAATCATAAGATAAAAAAGTAAAATATTTGCTACCAAGTGGAGATGGCACCGATGGAGGAGTCTAGACATGTTTTGCGAAAACCGAAAGAGGCTCTTGTTCATAAATGTGACATGATCTAGAAAATGGTAGAAGAGAGAAGGGTAGACCAGTGCTAACTAGGCAGTTATGTTGCTAAAGATATAGTAGCTTTGGATTTCCTAAAAGTTTAGCAATGAACTAAATCTAAACCAAACTAAATGAAAAAAAAAAAAGGATTCAAGTCGCCTACCCAAAATTTATTGGAAAGACTTAGCATCCATTGGAAAACCAATTTATAAATTCACTCCAAGTTAGATATATTTCAACCACACATCGTAGCTACTACTCATTTGTTATTTACAAATTTTGTGGGACCTACTACTATTCCTTTTTATAAATTGATTTACAAATTTGCTAAAAAAAGGCCAAGTGCTTGTTTGGAGAAATTATAAGACTGAATAGGGTCTGCTTCGGTCCGGTTCCGGTCCGGTTCAGAAGGGAACCGAACCAAATCTAATACCAATGAAAATCTTAGAATTAGAACCATTGGTTTCATATTCAATTATAGAATTGAATTGAAACCGAACCAAATGGTTTCGATCTGGTTTGGTTCTTTATATTGAAAAATTATCAAAATAAATTATGAAACTGCTTGTCATATTGAAAATAGTCAAAAATAGAGTATGTTCCCCTCTGTTATTCTTGTGATCTAATAATATAAAAAAATTAATTAAATAATTGGATAAGTGTGTAGTAGTTTGACTTTGACCTTTAATTATAATAAGATTATAATGTAAAACAAACAAGAACGTAGTTTGTTATTGTTTGTCAAAGAGGTAAATAACTGAATTCACTTGTGTGGAAATAGTTGAGTCAATATAAATTTTGGTCATTGGTAAGTTTTAGGAGATGTCTGAATGTTGAGATAATAATAGTTTGTAGGTAGGTAGATATGATATCTGTTTAGCTTAAAAAATGCAAAAAAGATATATAATCAAATACATTCTGGTATGGGAGCTTGACACATTTTTTCCAAATATTTGGCTTTGATGTAATTTGTGAGTTTTATTTATGGTAAAATTTTATAGAACAAATGAACATTTTTTGTTAATGCATGAATATATATGTAGTTCATTCTCATCCCTTTTTCAAAATATTTTAGGTTTCATAGACGGGTGGACATGGGGGAAAGGGTCACGTTGCCCCTAATTTTTTTTTTTTTTTGTGAGAAAGTTCTTTTTGATATGGATTGAAATCTAAATTTTAATCTAAATCTAAATTAACAATCAATTTTAATAACATATTTCATGTGATTCACGACTTTTCAACTTTTCAACTTTTATGAGAATCTATTAAAAATCTGATTTTAATCCTCATCAAACAGGGCAAAATCACAATAAATTTGAACTTTTTCTCTTACTCTCTGGCAACTCTCTCACTCGCGCCTTTTACCAAAATCTCAACCCTTTTAATTTTTTAAAATTTGTCTATAATTTCTCTACAAATGATTATATCTACTACAAATCTTCACTTCCCAATCAAATTTTCAACTAATTAGAATCTAAATTTGCATTTCTCCCAAATTGTGTATGCAGAATGTGTCTAAATTGATTATGTTCAATTTGATTTATATTTAATGAATTGTGTGTGTATTTGATTGATTATTAGTATTGAATATTGATTATATGTTTTTCGCTTTGATTACTTGGATTGATTATTTTAATTAATTATTTGTATCAAATACACTATAAGTTCTTTAAACGTAAATATGTATTTTCTTGAGTTCTGATGAGCAAAATATTAATAAAATGTATTTTCAAAATCAAATGGATAAAAATGATGAGCAAAATATCAATGAAGGAATATTTTTAAATGTAAATTTGCGTGTTCTCGTTTAAAGTATGATTAGTTCAAAAATCAAGAACAAAGTATTCTATCTGTACACGGTTTGATTGTTCTCTCATAACTCAGAATGTTTGTGTCCGTCACTATTCGTAGCTTCTTTTTGATGAGCATGAATATGCTTTAATATTTTCTCATGTGCTTGTTCGATAAACCAAGTGAAGTTTAAGGTTGAGCTTATAGTTTTATTTAATAATTAAGAAATAGGCTGTGATCATGATTGTGACCTATAATATAGGTTTATAGAACCTTGGTTGTTCAATCACAAGACAATTCGGTGCCATAACTCGCTTCATATATAGTGATGGATGGCGTGTTATTAAAGGCTAATTAGTGTCATCCTTTTGATATGTGACTGATAATTTTTTTATTAACCAGAAATTTAAAAATAAGAGTAAGAAAATAATTGAGAACGGAAAAAGGCGACTGTAGAAAAGCTTTGAGTTATCTATGAAGTCATACTTGTACTTCCTGTCTTGAGAATAACACCTTCTTATGGGATTCATTTGTTGTAAGTAAATAATCTATTTCGCCTTTCATAGGGAGGGGCCCAGGTTTGTCTCAGAGATTTGCAAATGAGGATTACATTTGTGAAGTTTTGCATCCTAGGAGACTAATTTTTTTTAATAATGCTATTCATTTCATGAAGGCTTAGGAAAGTATGAAGAGGTTTTAGTTCAAGGTAGCTTGTAGTGTGGTCCAAGCCACTATATCATCAACTAAGAGCCAAAGATTGAACACGTCAACTCTGGAAAAATTCCATAATAAAAAAATGTTGATGGAGCTTTGTGCTACAACCAGAAGTTAAGTGTTTCTTTAATGATATTGGGGCTGATAACATGAATAACTTTTTACCATTTCATTGAATCTTGTGTTTTATCTAGTGGTGAATGATCCAAATGGAATCAAATAGTTTGCAATTGTATCGCATCATCACCCGGTTCCATAAAACATGACTTGTTTAAAAACCTGTTTTGTACAATTTGCTTTTAAAATTGTTGTGTATCCTCCAATCCTGTGATGCTCGGACTCGTCTTTATGGCTGGCATACCCGTGTTGACAAGGGTACGGTATGAAATATGAGGTGGACACTGTGATTTTCTACCGGACACGGCTAGGGATGGAACTTATTGGAACTTGGATGCTGCCATTGTTGTTGCAGAGTGCAGAAAGTTGTGAATTTGAAAGGGATTAGGGAAGGAGGGGGACTATGGCCCTGCAAAAAAAAAAAAAAAAATTGGGCTTTTGGGAATTTTTTAAAAAACTTTTATTCACTGGCCAAGGTGGGCCTTAATATGTAGAGGAAACAAAAATTGGGATTTTTTTAGCAATATATTGGGCAGGGGAACTGCTTGGTATAATAATATGAGTGCTTGCAAATACAGTTGAAAGTATGGAGTTTTGCCTCTTTCACTATTTAAGAACTGCTCGAGTCAATTTATTTGTAATGTATGAGCGTATATCCTACGTTAAATGCTTAGCGTATTGCACTTGAAAGAAAGAGCAAATATTGAAGTGACAGGTTTCTTCTTGAATTGCCTTTGTAAAATGCCAAGTCTTCAAAGTGTTGGATTTGCAATTTCAGCCTAAATATGCTCCAAATCCTTGTATTTGCAAATTAGGATTCATGCCTCGTGTGTGTTGTTGTTGGGGGGGGGGGGGGGGGCCCCCAAAAAT